AACAGATTACTCGACTTGCAAGGTTGCCAACTGATAACATGAAGGCTACTAGGGAATTGACAGTAATGAAGAAACAGATTACTCGACTTGCGAGGTTGCCAACTGATAACATGAAGGCTACTAGGGAATTGACAGTAATGAAGGTACAGATTACTCGAGTTGCAAGGTTGCCAACTGATAACATGAAGGCTACTAGGGAATTGACAGTAATGAAGGAACAGATTACTCAAGTTGCAAGGTTGCCAACTGATAACCTGAACGCTACTAGGGAATTGACAGTAATGAAGGAACAGATTACTCGACTTGCAAGGTTGCCTACTGATAACCTGAAGGATACTAGGGAATTGACAGTAATGAAGGAACAGATTACTCGACTTGCAAGGTTGCCAACTGATAACCTGAAGGCTACTAGGAAATTGACAGTAATAAAGGAACTGATTACTCGAGTTGCAAGGTTGCCAACTGATAACATGAACGCTACTAGGGAATTGACAGTAATGAAGGAACAGATTACTCGAGTTGCAAGGTTGCCAACTGATAACCTGAAGGCTGCTAGGGAATTGACAGTAATGAAGGAACAGATTACTCGAGTTGCAAGGTTGCGAACTGATAACATGAACGCTACTAGGGAATTGACAGTAATCAAGGAACAGATTACTCGACCTGCAAGGTTGCCAACTGATAACCTGAAGGCTACTAGGGAATTGACCAGACTAAAGACTCCAGAGCTGACCTAGATTCCATGTTCATAATCCAGCTATTACAGCAGGATGAAATGTTGTGGCCAGAAGCATTCTGGGAGAGGATGCTATCTAAGGAACCAACACAGGACAGGAAATGACAGTCACTGCATATCCTGCAAGACTGTCCCTTGTATTACCCGTTTAGAAAGGAGCACTGGCTCAACAAGTCACCACTATATTCAAAGTTGTAGGGTGCCAAAGAGGAACTGATCTGTCGGTGTAAATCAGGGAAGTGTTCAAAAGAAGACGAAAAAGACATTCACTGTCTGCTGGCGGATGTGCTCAAGGTGTGATCTGTGAAACCAGCGTGACTGCACATGCAGTGAGGATGATGCCACAGCAAACACACACACCCACACAGATCCACTTTCTTGTTGGGAAGTTTCATGACGACTACATCAGAGTATGGCCTGTGAATGCCATTTCAGATCTGTGCACTTCTAATGGTACACTCACACATTTGGTCTCCTGTCTTCTGGAAACAGGACAGGATGAAAGAAAATTGTCATAGAAAGAAAAAAAAATTCAGATTTTATAAGGGAAGACAACGATATGAAAAAACAAAAGAAAAAATCATACAGATTTAAATCTACTAAAAATCAAGAAGCATTTCAGGCTCAAGGAAAACAGAAGGAAGAAGAGAACATTGTGGGGAAAATATAGGGAACCATGCCAGAGGAGAGACTAAAAATGAGAATGATAGATGTAGCAAAGAAACAAAAAATAAAAGATGAGATATCAGAGAGAAAAGAAGGGTAATCAGAGGAAGTTGAAATCAATGAAGTAAGAAAACAAAAGTAAGTTTCATATTTTATTAACATTTCATTTCTGTACAATCAACATTTTTTTGTCACATTGAAATCACATACATGACTATGATTAAACACATCATACATGACTATGAATAAACACATCATACATGACTATGAATAAACACATCATACATGACTATGATTAAACACATCATACATGACTGAATAAACACATCATACATGACTATGATTAAACACATCATACATGACTATGATTAAACACATCATACATGACTATGATTAAACACATCATACATGACTATGAATAAACACATGACTGATTAAACACATGATAAATGACAGAAGACATGATGACAGTGAATAAACATATTGTGACAGTAATGGACCACAATGCAATAGCTTGTTAGGCCAGACACATAAATCAATCAGTGACCTGGTCTTGTTGGAAGTGGCTGTAATGTTGAGCTAAAACCTGCCAGATGTGACTGAGGTAGACCAGCAGATCTTATGTCTCATGTCTGCAATATGTCAGCCAGGTCACCAAATGTTGAGCTAAATCCTGCTAGATGTGACTGAGGTAGACCAGCAGATCTCATGACTCATCTCTGCAATATGTCGGCCAGGTCACCAACAGTCCTCCAGTGTTTGCAAAATAATCTGTACACTTCAGGTGGCGTGTATTGTGCCTCTCAAATTTGGCTTGCTTGTCACCATCTGTTCCACATCGATGCCGACTACAGAACTGGGGGACAAAATATGAACAGTTCTTGAATATGATACATTTAGAAGATGCTAACTGCTAGCAAATAAATATTGCATTTGTAGATTAGTTGTAAGAGGAGAGGGACAAATAAAGTCAAAGTAGGGGGGGGGGGGAGGAGTGGAGAAATCAGGAAGTAAAGAAAGTATGACAGGCAGATCTGAAAAAGAAAGAGAGAGAGACCATAAAGCAGATAAACTAGAAGACACAGAGAGAAACCTGCACAGAAATTAAGAGAATATGAGAAAAGGGTGAGACAGACAGAGACCAAAAGAGAAGCATGAAGATACACTAAAAAATGAGTAGACTGTGACACAGAGGGTAAGAAACAAATAAAAGGAAGAGAAAGGAAAAAACAATACAAAAGCTAACTGCAAACTCACATCGCATCCATGGCAACAGTGATCTCCTACGCTTTCCTCCATTTTCTTTCCCCAAACTCTGTTGATAAGAATATGAATGTTATCAGCATTGAGCGTTAGTACGTTTAACTATATGTTTAACATGCGATGCGAAGACTGTATAAGCAAGCATGTGTACAGCATAACCGCACATGAAAACTGCAACGACACCTGCACACAATAGAACTGCACATGAGTACAGTATAACCCTTATGCTTACAGTATAACCCCACATGCCTACAGTATAACCACACATGAGTACAGTATTACCACACATGAGTACAGTATAATCCCACATGTGTACAGTATAACCCCACATGAGTGCAGTATAACTGCACATGTGTATGATATAACCACTCTCGCAAACAGTATAACCACACATGCATACAGTAAAACCACTTATAAGTACAGTATAACCACACATGAGTACAGTATAACCACACATGAGTACAGTATAACCACAGATGAGTACAGTATAACCACATATAAGTACAGTATAACCACATATGAGTACAGTATAACCACAGATGAGTACAGTATAACCACACATAAGTGCAGTACAACCCCACATGCATTCTGTATAACCACACATGAGTGCAGTATAACCACAGATGAGTGCAGTATAACACACATGAGTGCAGTATAACCACACATGAGTGCAGTATAACCACACATGAGTACATTATAACCCCACATGAGTGCAGTATAACCCCACATGAGTGCAGTATAACCACACATGAGTGCAGTATAACCCCACATGCATACTGTATAACCACACATGAGTGCAGTATAACCCCACATGCATACTGTATAACCCCACATGAGTGCAGTATAACCCCACATGCATACTGTATAACCATACATAAGTGCAGTATAACCACACATGAGTGCAGTATAACCACACATGAGTGCAGTATAACTACACATAAGTTTAGTATAACTACACATGAGTGCAGTATAACCCCACATGAGTACAGTATAACCACACATGAGTACAGTATAACTACACATAAGTTTAGTATAACCACACATGAGTACAGTATAACCACACATGAGTACAGTATAACCACACATGAGTACAGTATAACCACACATGAGTGCAGACTAACAACACACAAATACTGTATAACCACACATGAGTACAGTATAACCACATATGAGTACAGTATAACCACACATGAGTACAGTATAACCACACATAAGTTTAGTATAACTACACATGAGTGCAGTATAACCCCACATGAGTACAGTATAACCACACATGAGTAAAGTTTAACCCCACATACATACTGTATAACCACACATGAGTGCAGTATAACCACACATGAGTACAGTATAACCACACATGAGTAAAGTATAACCCCACATGCATACTGTATAACCACACATGAGTACAGTAAGACCACACATGCATACAGTATAACCACACATGAGTAAAGCATAACCCCACATGCATATTGTATAACCACACATGAGTACAGTATAACCACATATGAGTACAGTATAACCACACATGAGTACAGTAAGACCACACATGAGTACAGTAAGACCACACATGCATACAGTATAACTACACATGCATACAGCAAACACTCCATCTTCTCCTCTTTCTCCAGCAACCTCATCAAGGTTTTTGTGTTGGGCGCAGGAGGCGGGAGGGTAATCAAGATAGCTTGTCTGCTCTTTCTAATGCCTGGTATCGCTTATTTTCATTTCTTTAACTTTTTGCGTCCCATAAGGTCATATTTGATGCCTCGGTGAATCAATTTTAAAATCTACAAAATAATGTGTATACTACATCCATAGGGCCCGAATACACAATGGGTTGTTGAGTGTTTTAGCATGCCCCGACTAGACATACAATGTTCAAGCATAATAATATGTTAACTGATGCATGTGAGTAAATCCAGTTACACATGGTGAATTGTTTGGGGACTCAACGAAATAAGTCTGTCCCCAATGCTGTTGTTGCATGTTTTGCGTGGTCTTCTGCTTGCTCTGGGTTCTTGTATTTCTTCAGCATGGCTGTCTCTCTGGCCGTTGGTACCAGGCCGTTCTTGTCAGATGTTTTCCAAGCTGCCACCCTGTGTGTTTGACCATTCTTGAGATTTCATACATCTCATTCTGCATGACCAGCTGCGAAGACGCTAAATATCCCGCTCAACCGCCAGCACAGTTGTATTTCGAATACTTGCAGCAGCCAAACCAATTGTTTGATGTTTCCACAGCCGAATCTTTATGGCTAAATATAATGTATATTTTAATTTTTTTTTCTTTCTAAGTTTCTGTTAAAGAAATCCTCATTCAAGGAAAGGAAGAAAAATCAAAAAAAAAAAAAAATATATATATATATATGTTTAAAATTTACCAGTTTCTTGTCCTTTATTATCTCTTGTGTCTGTTCAGGTTCAGGATGCATTTTTCCTTCCATTTCTTCCGTTAATACATTCTTGTACAGGTCCGATTTCAGGAATCGTGGGTAACTGTCCAGTTTCATTAACCGTTCGATCTGTTAAGTGTAACATAAACCACACAGTTCAATACAAGCGGCCAGTCTCACCCCACTATAGCACAGTGTAATGATCAACGATTAGTGAACATCAGACTATTAGTCCAAGCAGAAAAGATACAAAACCGAACAAAAAGTATATCATATTAGACTAACCAGAAAAGATACAAAACTGAACGAAAAGTATACCATATTAGGCTAACCAGAAAAGATACAAAACCGAATGAAAAGTATATCATTTTAGTATAACCAGAAAAGATACAAGACCGAACGAAAAGTATATTATATTAGTCTAACCAGAAAATATACAAAACCGAACGAAAAGTATATCATATTAGTCTAACCAGAAAAGATACTAAACCGAACGAAAAGTATATCATATTATTAGTCTAATCAGATTTGTTGGTCAGTTACAATTGAAGTGCTTAAAACTTCTTTCACACGACATTTGAAATGTGACTCATGTGAATGTGTTTAACAATTTCACGATGCCCGATTGCCAGAATTCAATTTGTGCTGTGAAAGTTTAAAAAGCAAACAAGATTGTTCTCGTGATTTGCCAACATTAATACAAGAGTTGCACCGTGGAAGATACTGGAGCCTTACTGTGTAATATTCCCACACGCAGTAGTAGGTGCATTGTGGCCAGCCTTCTTTCAGGAGAGCTCACATACTTTTATCTTAGTGTTCTCAAACTGTATCAGGCATTTACTGTTTACCCCAACAGGGCATCACACTCAGCGATAAACCATTCAGATGAGGATCACCCATGGAGAGGTCCCAGGAATCTCGGATATATTAGAGCCCCTGGCAACAACCAGAGTGGGGCTTCAAAATAAAGAAAAGACAGGGCATCTTTTAGTTGTTGTTTTTCTTGGCAAAGTTTACGTTCGGTAGTTTGCCATTGCCGGAAAAACGGTCAGCTCTCTGTACCCTGTTGAAACCAACGCAAGACGTTCTCCTGCCAAATCACCAGCAGCTTGGATCGAGCCCGACATTACGAAGCGCGTTCGCAACGCCAAAGCCACAGATGCCGACTTGGACGTGTGCACCATATATTTTTTTTTCTTGACAGTTTTGAATTCAGAGTTTGTTTACTTCAAGTATCCAGAAACCATGAGTTTTAAACCCTTTGGCTCGGTACAATGGATATAGCAACCCTTCGGCCTTGATTCCATCATTGATACCGTAAATATGGAAGAAATTTGGCTTTTCTGTATACCCCCGGGCGTGAACCAGGGCCATAAGGAGTTCGTCACCTGGTCGTGTTAACCAACTGAGCTAGCGAGCCGAACAGTCTGGGTCTTAGTAAACTAAAATAGCAGAACTTTGGGACAGGAGAACTTTAGTAACCAGTGTTGCCAGTGAATAAGTAATAAAAAAAAAAAAAAACGGAAGGTGAGTCGTTTGCTACAATCAATGTTATTACAAAATTTGAACTTGTAAACAGTGGACAGAAAAACCACAGCCCTAGCCGCACTGAAACTGCGTGTGACTGTAACTGTTTGTGGTGCCCCAATATAACTGCGATGTATGATTGAACCAGGTTACCTGGATATGTACCTATGTTTCTCATCACTTGGATGTTAAACCTACAGACTGCAATCCCAGAGAGCACAATTTCCTTTATTTATTGTTAAAGTGGAAACAACGGATATTTTCTTGGTTGGTTACCAGCCGGCACACTTACCTGGTTCTGGGCCAGGTCAAACATGGAGGATGTCGGGGAGTCCAACAATTGTTCTGTGTGTGACCTTGTTGCACTGTCGACATTGACCGGGTCACTGGCTCGCGCTGCTATGTGACGACTAAAGATGTCCTTGGCTAAAGCTTGTTGCTGAAAGAACACGCCAGACTTTAATTCCGTGCTAATAGTTTATTATTTAAACTGCAGTTCATAACAAGTATGTAATCATAGCAGCACTAATCTATTATTTAAACTGCAGTTCATAACAAGTATGTAATCATAGCAGCACTAATCAATTATTCAGATGATCGCGCACATTAATAGAGAGAGAGAGAGAGAGAGAGAGAGAGAGAGAGAGAGAGAGAGAGAGAGAGAGAGAGAATGCATTTTTGTTATTGTTATATCCGTGTTTCTCAAACAATTCTACACATATTTGTATCTGAATATTGGCCCGATATTAACTAAGATCAGTCCAGTTGGATGATTACGTTCTTGCATTATTTCCCTTATATTGTTGGAAGAAAATCTGCGGTGTCCTTGTTTTGCTGCACTTCTAGTTGTCCGGCTAGGGCCTTTACATGTTGTTTTGTATCAGGCCTTATCCGCTGTCTAGCTTCTGCACAGACTTCTGTGACTTTTTCGTGGAAAAACAGTTTCTGAATTTGTCTCTATTTCGTCCACTTTCCAACGTCTTTTCTTAACTTGTACATTTGAACCTATCTGGGTATTTATGTCAGCCAAAAACATTGTTAAAACAAATTGCCTTTCTTGGATAGTCTGGGAGGTGTGAACACAAGTTAGGGTTGTGCTCACCTCGGCATTGGTCAGTGTCATTTATATCTAAGATTAAGCGGTACACATTTTCCATTACTGAGTCTGTAAAGCAATAAAAGTTTATATAACTTTTTCATATAATGCAATGACAGATGTGCGTGTCTGGAAATAGTTTGAAATAGATGTGTATAACTGTACCTATCTAAAAAAAAAAAAAAAGTAAAGGGAGAGATATGAACCGGCGTTATTGCACACGGTTATAAACCATAAGTGCTCTGCTGCCATTACGAACAGCTGATAAGAAAATGTCCGCCTGTGTTACCGTCCGCACGTAACTCCATAGCTACAGCGACGCTCCTCCATTTACCACAAAGTGTTAACTCTGGTACCCATTACATAGAGGCTGGGTGAACCCTGGGAACCGTTCGGTTTCGGACACCGGCCGTGGGCTGCAGCAAGTCGCAGCTGGATTTGAAAGTGAGTCTCCTATCGACTGTGCTAACGCGGCCTATCTATATGGCAACAATAAATTGTATAGCATTATTTATAACAATAAGCCCACAAAAGTTACCTGCCGCTGGTCTGCCAAGCCGCGGAACCGCTGACAAACTTGCCAGAATCTCATGTTTTCATCGCTGAACTCTTTCTCCAAGAATTTCTGCATAAGAATAAGATAGAAGTAAACATCATTAAGGGAGGAGTACTAGTAGAACGTCTTGAAAAAAAAAAAATGCTATTTTTGAATTTTGAAACAAACTTGGTGTCAAATTTAAGATTAACCAGTCTCCTACACGTTTCTGTATATTTTTTTTATCGGATAAGCAGTATCCGAGTTATGATGGCTCAAAGATAATCAGGTCTTAGAAGTGGACACAAATTCAGGAATTTGTGTCTTCCCTCACACACATATCTTAAGCTACAATGAGAGCCTCCCCAACAGCTTTCTTACAATGAAGGATCCTGCAATATGGAACAATCAAAATGGCTGCCTTCGTGAAAGCATGTTGACATTTTGTTCATTCTGAATTCGTTTGTATAACTTATATACTATAAGTTATAAGTTATTCTAAACTTTTGTAACTAAATTCTTTGATTTGATCTCTCAAGATCAATTCTTTTTTTCTTATTCTTTACTTCCTCCTGTACCACTTAAGGTGCAGAGGTAGAGGTTCTTATTATTTATTCTTTTCAGATATAAAAATTAATTGCAACCAGGATGAGAATATGTTGGACGGGCAAAAACCATACACCCATTTATCATCATCATCATCTTGCGTTGTTTCCATTCTGCTGGGCCACCAGTTTATGTACATCTCCGGAAGCATTTCACAATTCCTGTGCTGACACTTTCCAAGCCATGACACAGGCTATCAAGAATCTGCAATGTTTGTCTTCTAGGATCTTTCTTTCCGGAAATGTTTCCTGGTGTCAAAACAAATTCTGTTTCTTCTTTTCTAAAAATTTAGAAAGTATATGCTAGTATCTTTCCGATGTTTGTAATAAACTATTTTGTGGACTTTGTTTGACAAAATTTACAATGCATATTTTGTTTGTCCAGTGAACGGCAATCGCCAAACAGAGTTGCCCGTGTAAACAATGCAACAAAGGAAATAGTGTATTGTGTTGGTTGATTTATTGCTTTAGTCAGATTTACTGTGTCCAGGTAGAATAGTGTCAGCTATTGAGGTAACTTTCTGTTGTATTTACTTGCGTGGTAAGATTGCTTCTTTCAGCATATGATGTGCCACACCTCTGGTTGTCTCAGAACTGAGTACTGAAAGATGACTACGATTTTGTTTAAAAAAATTTTTTTTTGATTTTTCAAAAACGGACACTTTTCTCGTCACATTAAAAAGAATTGTATGTGGGGGGGGGGGGGGCAGGACAAACAACCAAAAACTAGGTCTGTTCAGGTAAAACCGGAAGCTTAATAATCCTCTAACTGGATATCTAATACACAATATAGATTAAGATTAAAGTGACAAAATTTATTAAACATATCAGTGCGAGTAATACGCCTTACCGTGAAGATATTGACTCCCAACGGGTCTTCCAACAGTCGATCAAAGTGGACAGCCCAACTGGCAACTCTCCCTTTCCGAGCCACGTGATCCTGACTCTGAGATACAAGACCTATGTTCTGTAGACCTCCTGCAGCCATTACTTTCCTGTCAGTCATGTTTCTGTCTTCCCCGACAGGTTTGGCTGAGTTTACTGTCTCCTTGGTACAATCATTGGCTGAGTTCACTCTCTGCTTGGAGCAGTCGTTGGCTGAGTTCACCGTCTGCCTGGAGCAGTCGTTGGCTGAGTTCACCCTCTGCCTGGAGCAGTCGTTGGCTGAGTTCACCCTCTGCCTGGAGCAGTCGTTGGCTGAGTTCACCGTCTGCTTGGGGCATTCATTTGATGGGTCAGGTATTTTGCTGAGATTTTGGCGGGACTGTGACATTTGTTTATCACTGAGATTTAATGAGTCGACACATTTTTTGGAACTTTTCTTTGATGACATAGTTAATTGTTTCTGCCTATCATTACACGAATCCACAGCCTGATTGTAAAGATGTTTGGACGATGAATACACAGCCTGATTCTGAAGATGTTTGGACGATGAATACACAGCCTGATTCTGAAGATGTTTGGACGATGAATACACAGCCTGATTCTGAAGATGTTTGGACGATGAATACACAGCCTGATTCTGAAGATGTTTGGACGATGAATACACAGCCTGATTCTGAAGATGTTTGGACGATGAATACACAGCCTGATTCTGAAGATGTTTGGACCATGGTTCCACAACATAATTGCGAAGATGCATCGGCGAAGGTTTTGCCTTCTTGGGTGTCGATGGGGCGCCCAGTGTAAGGAGCATAGCGTCCAGTTTTCTAGCTGGAGTCATTCTCCGTGACTGTGCCCTTCTGCAGTATCCGGATCGACCGATCTCTTCCTTCTGGGACACACTGCCAGGGGTGTTAGAGATGAAGCTGTGCTGGCGTCTGTCTCCGAGCTTGTTCTCACAGAGTTCAGGCGTGAATCCTACAGGCAAAGACAATCGCCTGTGTTTTGATGGCGAGACACAGTCACCAGCATCACTGATATCTGTGTCGTAAAGCTGTGCGATGATGTCTATGTCTGCAACACTGCTGGAAGCTCTTCTAAAGACGATATCATTTCCAGATCGTCTGCGGGAGATTGTGCTACAAACACGTTCAAGTAATGGAGGATTGACATTCCCGTCTCTGCGGTGTTCACCATCAGAAGCCATGTATGGTTGCAGGAAGTCACATTTTGATGCACTTTTCCGTGTCTTTTTACTTTTCCCAGAGCAAGAGAGAAACTTGACAAATCTAGACAAAGATGACCTTTTGGAACGTTTGTCTTTCGAATCTTTTAAATCTGGTGATTTCTCTCCCTTTATACAAACATTGGCCACAACTTTGTCAACAGCTGGGCATTCGTGCTGTAGATTAACATGTCGGTCGGAGTAAGGTAAGAGAGAACTTCTGTAGAACATGGTAGAAGGCGTGGTGTTTCTCTAGGCGCTTTGTGCGAGTTGTCAGTGAACTAAAGGTTATGTTGAGTCTAGAGTAGATGAAGCAAATAATTATGTGTTAGCCAAACATGCATTTTAAAAACAACCAAATACAGGTGCGCATGCATGTCAAAAACATTCTAATTCAGGTGCACGTGCATGTAAAAAACATCCCAATACAGGTGCACATAATTTCAAATAGTACACGATTCTGCTCACCCCTGTAGCGTATAAGGCATATAGTGCTAGACTTATATTTATTTATTCATTTATTTAATATTATTTTTTTTTCAAAGGGTTACAAATTGGGTACGCAGGCCTGTCTGACATTCGGCCCTTCTAAGCACTCATTTTTCAGAGTACCAATGCCTGTTATCAATAAAGTATGTTATGGGTATAATAAATAAAATATACAGTATAGAACAATGTATACACACATCATGTGTACACAATCTTACACACTCACACACACGTATACATACTCTTACATTCTCATACATGCACGCTCATATACAGACATACGTATTACATACATACACGCATCTACATACATACAGAAACATTAAAAAAACACACACATACATACATGCACAAACAGAAAACACACACACACATACATATATGGACATACATGCACACACATTCCATACATACACACAGACACATGCATGCATGCATACAAACATACAATCACATGTACAGACACGCACATACGCCCACAACCACACATTTACACTCACATGCATGCATACACCCACATACATGCATACATACATACATACATACACATACATGTACACATCTATACATATATACATATATTTGTATAGATCAAACAGTCCTCTCTGAGTGATATGGTCATCATCATGCCGACCACCTTTATTTCCCATGAAATTAGCTGGTATCCATTCTAGGCTGGGTTGACCTGGGAGCCAAGGTCATTTTTGAAATAGAAAGGAAAAAAAACTCCAACACGATGAGGAATTGAACCCAAGACATTCTAGCCGGCAGGCGGCGTGTCTTGTCGCTGCCCCACCGTAGCTTCTTCATTTCAAATAGCATTCATAATTTAAAATATAAACGAATGCATTCCTGTAGCCCTGAAGGGAAGAGAAGAATAGAAACACTGTAACCGTCCATACAAGTCATAAGCAGCAACTATGGAGCGTTGGTCTGGCACTGCATACATCTTGTCGCAGGAAATTCACATACAATACGTGTATCAAGCCAGTCATAAGGTTAGTTGCGTATCCTTTATAGGACGTTGCAGAACCAACCCCAACAGCCCCTGGTTGTTTTTTGGTTTTTTTAGGCAAATTTACGT